ATTTGGTCTCTTGAATGATTGAGTCCCAACACAATACTTGTCAACAATTATAACTTTCGCTGTGAAGACAGAATTTACATGATTAATATATGTGTTTCACTCTCCACTTATGGGTTNACTGCTCCTCACACCACAACTATTTTCTCCTTTACCTTGCCTATGCTACCACAAACAACATTATCAACTCGGACAAAACACACTAGCAGATTCAGCAAACAAACTCCCCTAACCAGTTGGAGAAAGTGGCGGCCATTTTGAATGAGGGAGGTAGAGTCAAGGAGAGATGCCTTTTTCTAAGCTAAACTCTCCCCCACCGGATTGGGCTGTGCTCTACCTCCCCCTACTCCCCCACTCTCCAACAACTCACCTAAAACAAACAAACTCACCTAGACAGTCAAAGACACACTACAAACCAATTCAAAGCAAGCAAAGCTCTTTTCCTTGGGACCTGCTCTACTCCACACCGGTTTGCCTGGGCCAAGCCCCAAGCCTCCCCGGCCTATTTGGACATTACCCACAATCTCTGTATGCCTGAGCGTTGCTTCTGCCTCCTGCACTGCCATTCTTGGATTCCACTTTCTCCCCTTGATTGGGTTTGGAACCACCTTACTGACTACCACATCTTTACTCCCAGATAACAGGAGCTCTGTCCTAACCTTAGTACATTTAAACTCCTCCACTAGACTAGTTACTGGGAGCTGAAGTATGCCTTTCCCATACAGTGCCACTGTACTTAAACATCTAGGAACACCTAGCCACTTCCTAATGTAAAAGCTAACTAATCTTTCCATTTTTTCTGCAGCAGATAATGGAATCTCATATACGGACAGTGGCCACATCAGTCTGGGAAATAACCCGAACTGCAGACACCACAACTTCAACTTTCCTGGAAGCCCTGATTTATCTATTCTATCCAGTCCCTCAGCAACATCTTTGCGAAACTGCACTACCTGTTCTCCGTCATTCAAGTCTGCCTTGTACCACCTACCTAGACTTTTTACTGATTTTTCCCTAATTATTGGAATTTCCTCTTCGTCTATTACAAACTTCCTATCACTTAGCTTCCCTCTACTCATTGAGATACTTCTAGACTTACTAGGCTTAATTTTCATACTAGCCCACTTTAAGTTTTTAATAAGTCTCTCAAGTACTCTTTTCATACATGGCACCGTTGTTGTTATCAACGTCATGTCATACATGTAGGTGTAAGGCGCATCCCATCCTGCCGCCTCTCTCCACCTACAACCCACTTAGAAGCTCTAATGATTACCTCCATCGCAATTGTGAATGCCAATGGAGAAATCGTGCACCCTGCCATAATGCCTATTTCTAGCCTCTGCCACCCTGTCGTAAAGCCTGCTGTACTTAAGCATAGTCTAATGTCTTGGAAATACGACCTTACTAACTTAAGCACTACTCTCTAAAATAATCAAATGCAAATAATCAAAGAATTAGACTGTGATCTACCAGGAATCTACCCTCATACATACTACTCTTTCTCCCAGAGGATTCATGTTTGATGAAGTTGAAATCATTTTTAATGACATTAGTGTAGGCAGTCTTTATTTTTTAAGTGTCATATATAATATGTTTTTTTGAGAAGCCCTTTTAAAAAACAGTTGTTCTGATGTGAACTACTGACACAAGTGATGCCAGTCAAAATGTAGACAACTTCAGAAAAGGCGTGCACACTTGTTGCTCTCCCTTTTTTCAGTAAAATGTTCCATACTGAAATTTCAGCATATCAAATCATAAATATTCATATATATTATTATATTATTGGTTAGAACAGAAATAGTTTTGCTTCTACTGCTTTAATACAGGCATCAAGTAAGATTTGATGGGAGGCCTGCTGAAGAATAGGCCTAATAGAAGTAAATGTAAAATGTGAATAGGCCTGTTGTAAGTAGATGTAAAATGTGATTTTATTGTATAGTTTGATCTTAAAGGCACATTAACAGTTTGGGATTCATACAAGCTCTTTCTAGGGCTGTTATCAGCTCTGGTTGGAGGGTGACAGATTCTCCTCTGGCTGAAACCATCAAGAACACATAGGGCCTGATTTACTAAGATCCCAAATAAAGAGCGCTAAATTGCGTGCGCACACGGATAGATTGCGCGCGCTGCCTGTTTGGGCTTTGCGAGTGATTTACTTAGATTAACAGCGCAATTGACTACAGGCGCAAAAGTGATCGAGCCGGCCCTATTTAAATGAGGATTTTGCGTGAGTTAAGGGTGTTCACCGTGGCGAATGCAAATGAGCAGATCCAATTGGACCGGAATTGGAGGTGCTGGTACAAGAGGCAAACAAGCACATTTCTGAGTTATAGCAAAGGAATTTAACCGTTATTAGGAGGAACGCAATATGGGAGGCAATCTGTGACAAGGTTAATGCTGTGGGGAAAACCAAAAGAACACCGGATGAAATGAAGAAAAGGTGGCAAGACATTCGTAGAAGAACAAAGGAAAAAATCGCACAGAATAACAAATCGGCAAATAAAACAGGTGGGGGACCGGCGGAGGAGGACCCTCTGTCTTCCATTGAAAGGCAGGTGCAGCTGACGTTCTGTGATGAGCAGATTACTGGGATACTGGGAATATTTTTAATTCATTCAGGTACACCACATAAGACATGAACGTGCGTCATGAACCTTCTTTAGCTATGCAATGGAAAAGCGTAATTGCCAAAAGGGTTTTTTTTGTTTGTGTGTTCCAGCAGGGGCGCAGAAGTGTGTGCGTTTTAATTTGTTTCAAGTTTCAGGAACAAATGATAGGAACTAGGCCGAACTAAATGTTTCCTATGTCTAAAAGAAAGTGGGCTTTAGTACATAAAAATTTGAGTTTTTGCAAAATAGCACAAACAAGAATCACTTGACATTATGATGCAACATTTATTATTTAAGGATTTTCTGAACTCTGAAAGAATGACTTTTTTTGTTTTGCATCGCCGGATAACCGATATGTCTCGATTATTTTTTCTTCTGCCATTCCAAAAAGAGAGACACGAACAGAAAAGATGCATTCTCTCCGTCGCCTGTCGTGCCTACGCCGCCTCCTTGCAACAATGACCGCAGCCATCTGTGCGCACGGCTGTGCCAGGTAGCCTAAGACTTGACTCTCAAACGTGCTAAATATAGACGCAAAAATAATCAGCGCAATTAGTTTGAGGTTTGGTAAATCTCATTGTGTGCGCAAAATGATTCTATTTGCATCTACTCCTCCCAATATTTTGCGCGTTCTGGCAGGCACGCCTATATTGCATATTCATGAAAGCAGAAGCGCAAAATGGATAGCGCCTGTTATTTTGCCTGACTGACAGACGCGATCCTCGGTGCGCCCGGTTGGTAGATCAGCATCAACATGTGTTTGCGCGTGGTGTCGCGTTTGCGCACGTTTTTACGCACGCAAAGCTTTAGTAAATCAGGCCCATAGTGTTTATCTGTACTGTGAAATAACATTACTAAATTCTATTAATGAATTTGTGTGGTTTGATTTAAACTTACATATCCCTTTATAAAAAGTACAGAAGGAAACATGATTGGATATTTTTTCTGACCTTTTCATTTCTGTCCTCTGCAGAAGTACTAATGGACTCAACAACAGCAACTGCAGAACTGGGCTGGACCATCTACCCATCACAGGGGGTGAGTGAAACAAACCAACACATGAGGAACAGATGACCTGTTCAGTGTGGCAGCAGCCCTGGTGACTTCACTAAAAACCTTTGAATGACAGCTGGAAACCTTTACACATCAATCTCTCAAAATGACAATGAGTTCATCAGCATGTGACAGTCAGTTGACCAACGTGTACTGATTTCCAGTTTAGACATCATTGTCTCAGACAGAGATAATTTTACAGTGATTGAAGTTCTCACATATTTAAGGAAAAGTAAAATCATATAACAATTGTGACCAATAAAGTATATGTGAATTATCTAGCTAATTATTCAACGAATCAATTCAGCTGAAGAACACTGGTTAACCAAAGTTTCAGGGGAAATATTGAAACTGTAAGTTATAATAGGGGCCCAACAACACATCTTCATCAAGGATTGCCAACCAGTTTATTGCACTCAACCTAACGATGTTTGTGAAACTCAAAGTAGGACATGACTCATTATGGAAAAAATAATAATCATGAAATGAAATTGAAAACTTATCACAATACTGTTGTGAAGCTACAGTCAGTGGGTATAAGAACCACCATGGCCATGTTAGTGAGAAAATAAAGATGAGGGAGAATTAACAAAAACTTTAATTCTGAATTGGAACCACTAACCCCTGAAATTCAAAGATCACTTCCCACCTAAATATGCTCATTCTCTTTACCAAGAGAAAATAACAGCTGCATCAGAGCCTCCTTTTATGTAAGCCACCTTCTGATTACCAAGGGGCAGCAGTCTCCTTGGTGAACTGTCACTGTGACACTTTAGAGAAAGACCATAAAAAACGAATACAACACTTTGTTTGTTGCTGGTGTTTGTTTCACTAAAGGAAGATTTTCCTCACACTTTTGCCACCTGACGTTAGGACATATACATTGAGTTCAACATCCTGAGTCATATATCAGTGCAGTCACAGATTATCAGTGTGTGATCTATCAACAGTGGAAAACTGACACTGTCAAGTTTTCTGAGGACTTTCTGCCAGAAACAGGACTTATGACAATCATAGAGAATGGACCAAACATTTCATAGCTCTTATTTTGATAACTGAAGAATTCCAGTTGTTTAAGTCCAGAGAAGAAAAAAACAAAGAAAGCATACAATAAAATACAATATGATAAAATGTTACAATGTTGTAAGTGTATTACTTGCCTGCCAGAAAGAATCAGAATCAGTATCACATTATAACGTCAAAAGTATATTGTTATAAAAAGATATTTTTCACGTTATAACAATATATTTTCACGTTATTACAACATATAAACTTATACTCACGTAATTACAAGAAACCTTTCTTGTTATACCAATATAATATTTATATTTTAACGTTCCACGTTATAACGTGATAACTTGTTATAATATAAAACATTTCACATTATAACGTGATCATTTATATTATAACATGAAACGTGTCATGTTAAAATATCAGAACTTCAAAGGAAACAGTGTGCTGAGAATAAATGAAAGAATATGGCTTATTTGCAGGATTTAATCAAGTTCTGTCTCATGCTTGGGTTGAGACATGGTGAGTTTCTGCTGTTATTGAGCACGGTGGATGACATTGTGATAAGTATGCATACACTAAGAAGGATTTTAAAATGCATGGGGCTGTACATAGGAAAGAATAAGTCCAAGCTACTGGAGGAAGCATCATTTTTCATTGTTCAGCTGGAGGGGCAGGGGTGGCTCTATGGATACAAGCTATACCATTTGAACTGCAGCTGAGTATGTTGTGACCCAAAGTACAGTGAGACATTTGTTAGAGTTTCTTGACCACCATGGTGTTGAGCATAGACAGAGAAAAGACCTGAAGGATCGAGAGCTGGTGGGCTTTTTTGAGAATGCATCATGTCCAACAGTGGATAAGTAATAAGTCTCCAGCAAATGGAAGACAGTGACTGTTTCACTGGAGACTTCTTTGACAAGCAGAATGTACTGTGCAGATTGAATATCACTCAGGTATGTTAGTTTGTCTGTGTTTCTATCTGTCATTCAGACCATGTGTGTGTGTGTGTGTGTGTGTGTGTGTGTGTGTGTGTGTGTGTGTGTGAGATAGAGAGAGAGAGAGAGAGAGAGAGAGTGACCAGGTCTTCAAGAAACCAACCCTTTATCAAGATTTTTGTAGGCAACATTTGCACTTAAAATCCAGGCACAGTGGGTACAACAGTAGCTATCCAATATCTCAAGTACAGCCTATAACATAGGCACATGCCAGTTTTGTTGACCTGATCCAATGATAGCTAAACCCTATTTTAATTAAATCATGATGAGATTGTCATTGAATCCCCATCACAATGCTGCAAGTGTAAAGGTGATTTTGAAGTTTGGCTTTGCTGATTTATTGTTTGTTGTCACAGTTGCAGTTACTACACTTAGGAGTTATTACAGATACTGCTCATGTTCCTTGTAAACGTTTTGCTCCGCCTTCGCCACTTAGCAGGGACATCCAAATTGAGTGCACCTATTGCTAACTGGGATCCATAAGTGACTTTCATTCCCCTGTTCATTGAAGTGCTGCATCTAAAATGCTCCCAAACTGCCACTCACAGCCACAGTCTGACATAAACTAAAAAATGAAAAGGAGCAGGCTAAATAATAAAAGTAAGGCAAAAACTAAAGCAGAAATTATTGAACATAATAACAAACTAAACTATAGAAAATAAAAGGGCCAATACCATTAAAATACATCACATATGATTATTGACATGAACAAAAACACACTTAACAGTAACAATCCCATTAAATTCCTTCGGGAGTGCTACAAGATATTAATCATGTAGGCTAAGCAGTAGTCTTGTAGCTCACTTTTCACAACAATATCATCCAAACATCATTATTAATCTTGTAGGCAAACAACTTTGTTAAGAGCTTGCTGGCTTCATTTTCACGTTGCTTGAATGTTGCAAGAATGCCAACAGAGAGGACCTCATGATGTGTTGCCTTTTAATGGCAGAGAACTTCCCACTCCCACCCACCACAGCAGATGAAACCATAGAGCTGTATCTTTTCCTAAGGGCATACATACTTTGACTAAGACTTATAAATTAGCAGGGCTACATTATGGAAACTAAGGCTTTGTTAGTTTTTAGTCAATCAGATATTATTTTCATTTGTGAGGAAAATATCAAAAAATGTATCTCAATCACAATCTTGATTTGTGCAGAGAAAAACATTAATGTGGGTTTAACAAACTATTTTGCCCACCCTGTACATCTGCTCACCTAAAACCATCAGAATGGGGCCAGGTCCCTGTGGTCGACAAATTAGTCCCACATAGAAGACAGCAGTTGAGATATGGTGATGTAAGATGATCCCAAAGTGATTCTGAATAATACATTTGTGATTCTGAGTGTCTAACATCATTTGTTGTCAAGTTGTAGGTATGATAATTTTGCTGATATTATGTACCATTTTATATTAAATGGCAGGAGTTTGGGAGGTTCGCTGACTCCTTTCTCCCTCAGATTTGTGTGAGTTCTGTGTCTTCCACAGCCAGACTCTCTCTCTCTCACTCACACATGCACACACACACACACACACACACACACACACACACACACACACACACACACAGAGAGTAACATAGACATACAGACACACAGGCAGAAAGCTGTTTACAAGTTAGTACTCATAGAGAGAGATTACCTCCTTTTACTTTCCTTGGTTGTTAACCTCTCCAGCATACTTTGCGCTACATAAACTGTTCAACTATCAAAATGTGTAGCTTCTTCAGGAGATTTATGCTTATATTCCACTTTTTGATAATATGTATAATTTTTCAAACTATGAGTTAATTAATATGAGCTGCTTTTTCAACCATTTTAGCAGCCATTTTAACCATGGTGTCAGAAATCTCTTTCAGGTGTGATATTATGAGTTTTGCCTATACATTTCTTTATTTTTCTTAATTTAGGCCACTTAGCTTTCAACTGATCTGTTTTTCTGTTTCGTACATTTTGTATATTTTTGTACAGTTTTGTTGTGTTTGTTACACTTTCTATCAACAACTCAGCCCTTTTACAACCATTTCATTCCATTCAACTTCCAGCTTACAAGTTCTGCTTTTAATATCCAGTCATTGTGTCAGCTACTTCAGCATTGCTTCAGTAGTTGCTTCAGCTTATTCAGCATTGCTGCAAACTCATTCAGTTCTCAGCATTCACATGCCTTTTCTAGTTTTACTTTATGTTGTTGCAATAAAATTCAACATCATGGAGATTGGAACAGTAAGAGAAGCTAATTTTCACCATTTGCCTGTTGTTTCAGCACCACCACCACCACAGCATCCACCTGCAGTCTCTGGCCTGGGGGGTTAAGATATTTGCTCATCACTCCCCACAGTTATGTTCACATAGAGATATTGGGGGTGATGAAGTTGAAACCAATGTCTAACTATGCTCTGCCATAATAAACATTTCAAATGTCTGTTGTGTGAATAAAATGGTCATTTCTGGCTTCTAGGCTGGTTTTGGGAGGAGGTTAGGGTCTTTCAGTTCATCCTGTTCCTTGACAATAATCATAATTGTGTTCAAAACGACCGGTTGAAAAAAAAGAACAAAAAGAAAACAGGCACTATTATTCAGCATGTAAACATTTGTATTTCTGATGCTTCTGAGTGATAAATCTTGGCCCACATCGCGACATGAGGGTTCTTTTTAAACACTGTCATGAATTTCAAGCTTGGTAGATAATGATAAAAGACCTGTTTTGGTGTTATGGTTTGGAAAGTAACTGTTGCTGTCAAAGTATTTGTGGTTTTGTACTTGTGTCTGTTCTGTGTCACTGTAGTTTTGTTTTTTGTCTTTCTTTTAGTGGGAAGAAGTCAGCGGCTATGATGAACACATGAACACCATACGAACATACCAGGTGTGCAATGTCTTTGATAGCAGCCAGAACAACTGGGTACGCACCAAATACATCCGCCGCAGTGGTGCTCAGCGCATCCACGTCCAGATGAAGTTCTCAGTGCGTGACTGCAGTTCTATACCCAATGTCCCTGGCTCCTGCAAGGAGACCTTCAACCTGTACTACTATGAGTCAGACTCAGACATGGCTACTAAATCATCTCCATCCTGGATGGAGAACCCCTGGGTGAAAGTGGACACTATAGCAGCTGATGAAAGCTTTTCTCAGGTTGATCTTGGTGGACGCATCATGAAGATTAACAGTGAAGTCCGGAGTTTTGGACCTGTTTCGCGCAATGGCTTCTACCTCGCTTTCCAGGATTACGGTGCCTGCATGTCACTCATTGCTGTCAGAGTCTTCTACAGAAAATGTCCCAGAGTGATCCAGAATGGTGCCGTCTTCCCTGAGACTCTGTCTGGAGCAGAGAGCACCTCACTGGTGGCTGCCAGAGGGGTGTGTGTTCCCAATGGGGAGGAGGTGGATGTACCCATTAAGCTGTACTGTAATGGGGATGGGGAGTGGATGGTACCCATCGGGCGTTGCATGTGCAAAGCTGGCTATGAAGTGGTGGACAACGGTACACTCTGCAGAGGTAGGAACCTGCCACTGCTACTTCTGTTTACTTTTCTTCATTTCATGCCACAGCAGATTTTTATCTTCTTGTGTCAGATACTGAACATTTCATTTAGTCAACTGAAATTTTAGTGATAACTATAATTGTGTGGTTTTAGCCTCAGTAGCAGTATGGGAATGAAAATATAGGCACATTGGTCAAGACTAATAAAACATAATAATAATAATAATAATAATTATTATTATTATTATAATAATTATAAATAATAATATCTCAGCAAGTATTGGTTGCATTGCACCATGTACAAACATGTAATCAAAACATGATTATAGAATTTTTTATTTCTAATCTAGTAGAGCCATTAGCAAGGCAAAGGTTTCACTTATGCATTGAAATACCTGGACCTCTGTTATTTTTGAAGACATTCAGTCAGTCAGTGATGAAAGGCCGAAGTCACTAGAATTCATTGTGTGGGGAGCATGAATGTCACTCAATCCAGTATTTGTTGAGATATTTCAGCGTGGAGACAGCAGCACTGACTGACCAGGCAGCATCATTTTGCTGAGCATGTGTACAAATACACACTCTAAAAGAACAGCCCACTGCACATGGCCACAGAGAAACTGGAGATTTGGTGCCTTTTTGGAGCACCTTGTCAGTAGTTATTGTAAGATTCATTTCCCTAGCCCAAGGCTCTACATTGTAAGCCCTGCTATACAACTGCTATAGACAACTGCTATACAACTGCCATAGCCTGTCAATGTGTCTGTTTGCAGTTCCAATGGCTAAACACAGAACATCAATTTAAAAAAATTTACAAAAACTTTCTGCCAATATTTTATCCTAACTAAAATTGAGTTTTTTATTCTCAGACTATTTGAATTTGAGTCCACACATAGAGCTGCATGTTCTTCAAACAGTTCAACCTTGGTCTTACCAGTCCATCAAACATTTTCCAGTAGTGTTGTGGAGAGTCAAGCTGCTCTTTGACTTACTTCAGGTCAGTAATGCAGTAACTTCCTCTGTGGTGTCCATGGCAGCACTCCATGCTCCATGATGTGTGTGTGGCTGACTCATGAACAGAGATACAAACCAGCTCAAATGATTGCTTTAAGCCTTCAGCTGTGACTCTAAGCTTCTTTGTTACATTACTGACGGAGTAACAGCAGCCACAGAACTGAATCATCTTCATCTATATACAGTTTGTCTGCCTGTGGACTGATGATGATCTCAACTCTGTGACCCTTTCAGCTTCATGCTCATCACCTCTTCTTCATCCTCAGTCTCAGTCTGAGATCTTTGTTGTGAGGACTGGTTCACATCAGCTGATGTTTCTCTAGATCTTTGAGTGATGTTTTTAAGTCAAAGTGTGTCTAACCATTTAAACCTCCAATCTGGTTTCCCTGACTGACTGACTGACTGACTGACTGACTGACTGACTGACTGACTGACTGACTGACTTATAACTCCTGACTTCAGTTAGTCTCTGTTGATGAGGGGTTCACAGTCTGTTTCAAGCTACACTGAGAATGTTTGAATCATGAGTGTGTTTGTTCATTAATGTAACTGAGATAAAGATTGGATCTTTCAAAGAATGTGTTTTATTTTTCTTGCCACTGTATTTTAGTTGTATTTTACTCAACTTTTATACCATGGTTTTCTCTGTTCATATAATTTGGTTAGTTAGTTACTTTCCATTTAAATCAGTTTCTAAGGTGTGCAGTGATGATTCTGATTCAGTGGTAATTGAGACATCCTGTGGCTGCCAGCTGTGCACAGTCTTCCTGGTATTAAAGTCTTCTATCCAATCTGTATCATTAATCCTGATGATGTGCTCCCCTGGTTCTTGGCTGAAGAAGGACTTTACATATGATATAATCCTCGGTGTACGAAGAAACCTCTGTAATCACAAAGCAAAAACTGAGCTTGCTAGGGGGCGTGCACTGACAAAAAATGGATTTGTTTGATCTACATATGGCATTTTAAGACTTTGGAGGACAATAATTGGAAGACAGCAGTTTTAAAACCACATTAGTGGAAATGATAGAAATGTGTCTCAAACTATAACTAAACATATTTCTAAGATAACACTTTATTGTGACACTAGGATTATGATAGGTTTGTGTTGTTGCTAAACCGAGCCTATAGGTTCAGTCCATTACCAAAAAACATTTATCTCTATGGTAATTAGTCAGTTTTTTTTCATCTTGAACAGCACAGGCACTGCAAAAAAATAAATAAATAAAATGATTGAAAAATTTCTTAAAATCTCTTAAAAAGAAGCATATATTGGCTTAAGACATTTAATCTTACTTAGACTTCACTTTTTCTATGTGCACCTGATCTTCCTCTCTCACCTCCATCACTATCTCTCTTTTTCTTTGTCTCCTCATCTTGTCCTGTCTATCTTCACAAAGCTGAGCTTTGATTGTCTTTTCATTTTTATCTGTCAGTGAAGAAATTAAACTGATATCTATTTAATGAAAATATATAGGGGTGCCAAACATACATTTTACTTTATACAAACTGACATACATGAAATAAAAGAATCTTTCATTGAAAGTTTGTTAGTCTGACAGTAGATGGATATAATTATTGTTAGCTAGCTATGCAACTAGTTAATTCACTCAGCTGAAACTAACTCACAATGGACGACCACATACGGAAGGTACTGGTCACATGATGTCTGGGAAAGAAAGCTTGAACTACAAGTAGTTGCCACCAAAACTCTAGTTCCTTGTAGACTTGTAGTAATGACAAGATCACCCTCACACAAGCAATGACGCTGGTGATAAGATTAGAAAGTTTGAGATCTTGTCTTGTTCATTTTGTTATATACACCTTTGAAAAAATACAGAGGTCCAGTGTTGTATACAATGAACTATATACTATACTATATAAACACACTATAGTTTGGACCAATTTAAAAGAATTAATCTAATTTGTTACAGCTAAATTTGTTTAGTTATGTATTTATTTTCTTCTACAATTTGGTCGAAACATTGAATTTTAAGTCAACATAAAAGTCACAACCCAGCTCTAAAGCCATGACAAAATGCAAGGTAATGCAGGTTGGGACCAACAATTATAAATTTATTGACAACGAAATGATGGTAGTCACACAAAAGAACTAAGACAAGCTGTGAGATGTGGATAGATAGATAGATAGATAGATAGATAGATAGATAGATAGATAGATAGATAGATAGATAGATAGATAGATCCCCTAGGGGAAATTCATGTGTCCATTAGCTCATTGTTGATAATAATAATAAATTAAAAATAAATAGATAATTAGATTAGTCCACTTCCTTTGGCTGAGGTGTTGTATAGCCTGATGACAGTGGGAACAAAGGATCTCCTGAACCTCTCTGTTCTGCAGCGCAGTGAGATGAGACATTTGTGGCACCTGTAGCTGCTTCACTGTCCTGCCAGAATGTTGTGTAGAGGATGGTTGGCATTGTCCAAGATGTCCTCCATCTTACATTGCATGAATCTCTCCAAAACAGCCTTGAGTGAGTCCAGACTCCTGCCATGCACAGACCCAGCCTTTTTGACCAGCTTGTCCAGTCTCTTTGTGATCGTGTCTGACATGCTGCTGCCCCAGCAGACTGCAGCATAAAAGAGTACACTGGCCACCACTGACTTATAAAACATGTGCAGCATTTCACTGCAGACGTCAAAGGACCTGAGCCTCCTGAGGAAAAAGAGCCAGCTCTGACCCTTCCAGTAGATGGCATCCATGTTCAGGGACCAGTCCAGTTTTCACCACCTCAATGTCCTTCCCTTAAATGTTTACTGGCTGAAGTGTGGGCCTAGACCTCCGAAAGTCCATGACCATCTCCTTGGTCTTGGAGGTGTTCAGAAGGAGGCAGTTGTTGCCCCATAAACTGACGGCCATTGTCAGATCCATGTACTCCTCTTCCTGCCCAAGCAGGGATCCACCCCCATCCCTTTCAGCTTGTCTTTAAGAATGGGGGGTTGGATGGTGTTAAATGCACTTGAGAATTCAAAGAAGATAATCCTCATGTAACCACCTGGCTCATCCAAGTAAGAATGGGCCCAGTGGAGCATGTAAAGGACGGCATCATCCACTCCAATATATTCTTTGTAGGCGAACTGTAGGGGGCCTAGTGCATGTTCAACCTGTGGCCTCAGTTTTCCACAGGACCAGGACCCTCCCTGTTTGAGGGTTAAGTTGAAGATCCTCTGGAGAGGCTCAGCCAGCTGGGCTGCACAGTCCTTTAACAGCCTTGGACACACACCAGCCGGGCCTGTTGCCTTTCCAGGGCGTAGCCTCTTGAGCTCCGCCCTCACCTCCTCCGCTGTAAAGGACAGGATACTTGACCCCAGCGTGGAGGGAGCTGCAGCTGCAGTGTCAGGTTGTGGAAGAGATGCCATAGGAGAAGCTGCAGCTGAAGCAGTCGGAGAGAAAACAGGTGAGGCTGTGTCAAACCTCTTGTAGAACAGGTTGAACTCGTTGGCCTTGTCCACATCACCTGATGTTGCCTGGCTTTTCTTCTCTTTATAGCCAGTGATGGTCCTCATCCCCTTCCACACCTCTCTGGTGTTGTTGTGTCGCATCTTTTTCTTCTCTACTTTCTTTTAGTAGCCCTCCTTCACCTGCTTTAATCTCCTCTTCAGCTCATGTTGCACACACCTGAGCTTGTCCCTGTCTCCATCCCTGAAGGCCTCCTTTTTCTGGTTGAGGAGGGTCTTGATGTTACTGGTGATCCAGGGTTTGTTGTTTGGAAAGCAGTGTACAATACTTGCTGGATATCACTGATCAGTGGTGTGGGTGCATATTTGCATATGAGTGGGATGTATAAACTGCACTCTGCTTGTCAGAACACACTGCAACATCAGTGAAGTGCTAAATCCAACCAATTACGCACAATGGCAATGCGCTCAAACTGTGAAAAAAAATGACTCAGGATCACGCTCAGACAATTTGGGCAACAGACGCAAATTACTTAAAACATCAATATCCCCTGAAAGCTGCTCGGAAAACAAAGCCA